CATTTTACCAAAGCTTTATTACAAGGTAAATAATCAAGTAAAAACCAAAACCTACCTCTCTTTTACTCTTCTTTTTACTTTAGTCAAACTAAGTTAAATGGGGAATAGAGAGAGTTTTACTAACTCCATAAGTTATCTCAAACCGTAGTTAAGCAATGTAACCCACCTTCCACCCAAGAGACACATGTAGTAATTAAGTTAGTTGAGAAGACTAAAGACTCTCCCAATTTCCATAGTTGGTCGAACATGCATGAGGAGAGAGTTTTACTAACCTCATAAGTTATCTAAAAAAAAAACTCACTAATTTCCATGAAAATTAGGCTTCGCACAAACTTAATTTTAACATCGCTAACAACTCCACCAAAACTAAAAAAAAAAAAAAAAAACTCTAGTATTATTGTAATTATTGTCTTATGTTCCCTTAAGATATGATTAAATTTTATACTAAACAATTTCTCAAATGAAAATCTATCTCAAATTCTTAAAATTGCCACACTTATTCGAGTTTAAAGTAAATTGTACAATTTTTTCAAGTTAAGTAAATATTGCAACATTTATTAAGTTTAAGATACAATTTGATGGTGTTTGGGGGTTGAAAATTGTATTACCACGTGGAGGACAGAAAAAGGTCCAACTTTAGAGGTCTTCCTTTTGGTGGTCGACCTGAAGATGTTCCCTTTGATGGCCGACTTGAAGATCTTCCTTTTGGTGGCCGACCTGAAGTGGCCAACCTAAAGAGCTCCACTGAGGGCTGATCTAAAGAGCTCCACTGAGAGCCAACCTGAAGAGCTCCCCTGAGGGCTGACCTGAAGGCCTTGTCTAATGGCCGACCTGAGGCCTTCCCTAAAGGCCGATCTGAAGGTCTTCCCTGAAGATCATTCAAAGGAGGAACGACCTTCCATACTTAGTCAAATTCCAGATGGCAAGAGTATGAACTGGAATAGCTACCCCCGACAGGCCGACCTTAGTCCCGACATGCTCAACCGCCGGTCGGATTCCTTGTCGGGTACCTCAGCCTATAAATAGGGCACTTCACTCTTCAGTCAGGTATCGTATTCTAGCTCGGCCTCCATATTAAGGTCGACTCAAAACTAACTTGAGCGTCGGAGTGTTTGTTCCCTTTTGCAGGTTTTTCCTCGCCAAGTGGCCTTTCAGCTCATTCCTGACACCAACTCATCCCAGTCAGCCGACCTTGACCCTTTGAGCTGGTCATCCCTTTCCAAGGAAACCCAAGCTCTTCCCGCGATCATACCTGAAGCAGGTCATGCTCTTCCCGCGATCATACCTAAAAAGCAGGTCATGCTCTCCCGACGATTATACTTGGAGCAGGTCGAGCTCTTCCCTGTGGCCAACCTTGACCAGGTCATACCCCGTCACATTTTTTGCATAAACGGATGGAATTGAAAATTTTTGGTAAAACTTGATACACCTTGCCTCTTTTTATTTTTATTTAGTTTTTTTGTCAAAAAAATGAAAAAGAAATTGTGCAAAAAGAATTTTGAGAAATTATAATGGATGACAAACCTAGTTATAATATTTGGAAATTTGTTACATGCACAAATAATTTGACAATTTTTACAAATATTTCCTCATATATCATTAATATATCATGTTTATATCATGGATAAAAGTACTAAAAGTATGTCATTAGTATACCAATATAAGGTATAATACTAGCATTGATGAAATATATCATTAATATATCAATACAAAGTATATCAAAATAATATGCTTTTTTTTATCATACCTTTTTTTTTAGAATAATATCATACCTAAGTTATATCATTTGAAACAAGTTACTTTTTATTATTATTATTATTATTATTATTAAATTATTGGGTGTTATACAATTTATTATATTTGTTTCACTTTTACAAACTATTTTATCATACTTCAGAACTTGTATTATTTACATGGCATTAAATTCTCATTGACACATCAACGTTACATCAATATAAGGGATGATCAACATTTCCATTATATCGTTAAGAAATCAACGAATTACAAAAAAATATAAACAAAACATCACTAATGTAGACACACAATTAATAATAAAAATTGATTTTCCTCATTGTTCTTACTAAAAAATTTCCGATAATCACAATAGATC